TTTGTACAAGCCGGGCCGCGGCTGTTGCAGGCATTCGTTGGCGGAGGTGAAGGACCAAACGTAGTGCAAGGTCGACAGTTGAACTACGGCACCTGGAGTCAACTGCCACAGGCACCCCAGGGATCCCCAGGGATTGCTGTGAACATCTGTGAACTGGGATCAGTGCCCCAGGCTGGGCCACCAGATGCCACCAGCCTGTCAACGCCAAAGGCAACGGCACAGCGTCTGGCACTTTGAGCAGTTCCGTAGACCCTGTCTTCGTTGTCATGGCGGCTCACAGGCAAGATCTGGCAAGCTCGTCTTAGGATTACTTAGGATGTCAAAGGTGCAGTTGTAGTTATGGTATGTTATGGTTGGATAATGTTGGATAGAGATTCAAAGTATTCCAAAGTCTGGTTTTATTGCTGTTTTCATGATCTAAGATCCAGCAAGGGGACTGTGAATTTGTATCTCCGATTTGATAGCCCATAAGTATTACGTTAATTACTACCATCTGACAAGTTTTAGCAAGTTGACAACGCTTGCACGATTTAAGCGTCTCTCAAAATCATAAACTGCTCGAAAAAACATCTTGCATTCTGAGACCTCATCCAGGTCTTCGGACAAGTTTCTTTTTGGTCATCAGCTTGGGCCAAAACATGAGTATGTTCAATGTCATGCTAAAACATTTAAAACTCTCAAGACCTGGGTCTCTGCACCACTGCAAAACCCTGCAGGATGAACATTGTGAACGCTGTTAAAACTGTTAAAACACATCTACCTACCAGGTCCATGTTAACTAGTCCATGTGATTGGAACAACTACGGTAATTAAATGACCATGATCCATGACATCAGCTCGCATTATCAAATTTGCATTGTTTTCAACCAAAATCACTTGTATATCCTGTATTGTCAACAAATTGTCACTTATGCATGTTCTTGGCTAGTCTTGACTCTCTCTTTAGGTTTCGCGTGGATATGCTTTGTGCTTCCAACTCGATGACTGTTGTTTACAGTTGCAGCCCAGCCTTTGAGCATTGAGCTTCTGGGGGAAATTGCGCCAGTGCACCGGCGTTCATTGCACCAATGCTGGTGCCCACGATCATGGACCAATTTCTGCAGCATCAGGACGCTGAAACAAGGAATGATCCGAAATTCAAAGAGTTCTGTTTGACGATTCAAGTCACCAATTTCCATTTTATTAAGGCTGTCAAAGGTAAGCAACATTGGAACAATTCACATCCTTATTGCCTTATTGCTCGAGTAGAAGCAACCCTTTCACAACTCTCTGAGTCGTTGCCGGACCACCGAAACTCATTCTTGATAATTATTCAAGGCGTTCAACGTCCATGTTCATCTGGTTATATCATGTTATATATAATCTGGTTGGTCAGTCGACTGATCATCAACTCTAATCTAATCCCCCTTGGCTTGGCGCACCTCAAATGGTTTAACGAATTGTTTTTGCAAATTCCTTCCAGCACTCCCAGCTCGAAAGCGCCCTGGCGAGGAAATCAGGTCGACTTACAGTGGCTTTAGGTGCTTATCCGCACGGATTCCAGGCACAGACACCAGGTTCCGTCTAAAACGTGACATACGATGCAAAGTATGCAGAGAACTACTGAAGATTGCGGTGTACAAACATGTACAGACTACAATATATGGTCTCGTGTTCCGTGTTCCTAAGGGGGGTTGGAACGCTGGACCATATATACATATTTACATGCAAAGATTTGTATTACCCACAACATGGGCAAAGAACCACGAACCAATGGGTACTTTGCAAGTGGTAAATGATGGTGGGCACGTTATTAAGGTATATTGAGGTAGAGTCCTCTGAGCCCGATGAATCATGGTGATGATGATGTTCTGCCCATCTTTGAGGAACCGTTGGTATGTCTGGCGCGCCTTTGCACCTCCGCCGGAAAGCACTAAAGCTGTGAAGTTTCCTTTGCCTTTCACAGGATGATCTCTGCCAAAACCTGCGCATAGCAACAGGCAGCAAATGTGATTATATAGGTTTCCCTTGCGTTCTAGCTTTTTGATATTTTTTTGTGAGACTGGCATTTGCATGATTCAACCTTGAATGAGAATTAACACCCCTTTTCTCTGCCACGTGCATCTCACATCATCTCACCTTGTGCTGTGGGCTTTTCGGGCTTTTGGGCCCATTCATGTGGAAGACATTGCCCATTGACCGAACACCTGGGATCAGTCCACGGAGGTGAAGTTCACAAAAAAGTGCCATTTCGTGCCACCTGTCACTTTGGTACCCCAAATCCCCATAAATCACATGGTTTGTCATCATGTTCATTCATTCTCCGCGTTCAAACATATTCAGACACATATTCAGACACATATCCAAACATGTCATTAGGAGGTACAGTATCCGTCATGCTGAGACGAACCCAGTGGCCCATATGTGGTATACCCTGCACCCATGACCGAGGTGCTGATCCGCGCGGCACACGCATGAGCCCTCGACGCATTCGGCGTTGCGCCAATCCTGAAAGATGTCACCAGCAAAAGGAAGCTCTCATTTCCTCAAATTGATCCAATACGTTCCAATAGTTCCAATACTAAGATAGGGTGTATCTCTAATTCCACTCCACAAAATGTGATTTTGTGCTAGTAGCAGCAACAAGTGCACACAGTACACACATCATTCATCATCATTCTAAGTCTTTTAAGTATTGTCACTTGGCTTACCTCACAACAGAGTGCTAGGCTTCCGAACTGCGCAGCCAAAGAAGTAACAGGAGCCGCCAGTATCTTGTGTGCAGCTGTCTCCATCCAAACCTGCTTTGGACTGCTGCCCAGCCGACGCAGCTAGTAGGTGATCAGCGATTGTAGCTGTGTCTGGTTCATTGATATGAGCCCATTTTGATTGCAAACAATTCAGGTGTGTAAGGGCTAGTGGAGATGACATTATGTCAGCAACACAGTTGAAAGACGTCCCAAAGCACAGCAAATCCAAGTAGTCAACCGGCACATGCCGCAGCCTGCAGGCTTTCTGGGGCCAAATGAATCCCTGTTCTCCGCCTGTGGAGCGAATAGCAAGAACGCGTTCATTGATTGTCGCAACTAACTTGCATGACAAAATAAATCATTACTTTGTTGCAGTTATGTCATGTATTCTTAGTGTCTTCGCCTATGTTTCTGGGGATTTGCCTGCCCGCGCATTGAAACCAGCAAACTAACAAACTGGCACGACTTACATGCATGTTTCCACTGTGTCTTCCTAGCCCTTGCACCGCGTTTTTCTCAGTCTTCGGTCTGGAAGGTCTGCACATCCCAGCGACACGAGTTGGAGGTCAGCAGCCAACTATACAGTTTGTCCCTGTACAAATTCGCTGTACAACCTCTGACCTGCAGGCCAAACCCCTTGGTCCGTTGAAAACCAGTTGCTTTCGAACAAAAAGAGACGGACCAGGGCTATCCTTTTTGCGGAAGTCCTGCCAAGAATCATCACACTTCCAAGATCTGCCAAGATCTATCCACTTCCTATGAATCTGGTTTTCATGTAAATGCCATGCTTATATCGACCACATAGTAGCTGCACCGGGTAGAGGATCAAAAAGGACATGTTGCAGGAAAGGTTGTTAATGAATGAAGTATCATAAAAATATTATAAAATATTGCAGTCAGACTTGGCAATCAAACAAATCATTGCCTTGCATACGGCATACAGCATACATCAGCATGCACTGTCGAGTACCGAATGAGTAGTGACCTTAACTGATTAACTGTTGAGGTCCTCCTCGATGCACACTACTCGTTGGCACTAACGCCCCCACGCAACACATGCGCAGCAGACGCGGCAGTTGTGGCGACACTATCCGATACCACGTTGTTTTGTGGCAAAGCCAGCCTCAGTGGGTCCAGTGGGTCAGGTTCACTGGAATATTTAACTGCTGTCTCTGCCCACGTTGTGATCATGACAAGGATGCAAAAAGACAGATCTCGACGGTCTGAAATTCAAATTGCAAGCAGCTCAACTAGCTCCGACTCTGGGTATTCCTTCGGATAGACCACAGTTCCCTTCCTCAATGGCCATAAGCGATATCTACATCAAAATGTCAGACAATTTAGTGCGACTTTGAGATATGTGGCGCTCAAATGAAGGATCAAAAAATAGAAAACATTCTGAGCGTCGGTACTCGGTGCAAACTTGAGAGGGGGAGGACGAAAGGTAGCTGGGGGCGTATCTCTCAACAACTTTTTGCGTTCATTCTGTTTCAATATATCGAACTTTCCCTTCCCCCTAGGTGCCTCTCAATTTCCTGCATCCATTTCGTTTCATACGTAGACTTCCCCTATTGGCCTCCCCGCCACTTCTTACGTTTTTTCCGAACTTCCCCGGCATCAACAACTTCTTGCGTGCATCTTGTCTCAATATCTAAATTCCACCCACCCCGTGCCATAGTCAGTACTAAGAACCACAAGCAGGATAATGCTAGTCAGTTTGTTGGCAACCTATGTGAATTAAGGGGCCAAGGTGCCTCAACCGATCGACGCTCGGTTGAGGCACTTTGCGTGTAGGCCTTTATGGATGTAACCTTCAGGCACTTTGCGTGTAGGTCTTTATAGATGTAACCTTTACGCGGCTAAGTGCGTGAAGATGTCTGAAGCAAAAACAACATCAACAATTGCAGGAGACGAAGCCGTCCTTGTGTTTCGTGGAACTATTAAAAGGCTTGCGGCTCAGCGATAAGTGTCGCTGCGAAGGGACATACTGCTATTGTTTTCTTATCTAACATGAGCATTGTCCATGACCTGTGAAGAACATCGAATGGTCCCGTAAAGTATTCCAGTTGGAGCATGGAGCTCAGCTGCGTGTCTGTGATGCGCGTAGAGCATCGAATTGCTTCTTATTGCGAAGAAAGTTAAAGGACCGCATAACCCCACAAGTCAACTTCTTCCAATAATGATCAACAAATTTTGCAGCGGGGACGGGGAAGGAAGGAAAGACAAAGGAGGAGGTGGAGGAAAAATGGTTTGTGACAAAGTTGTGTGTGTGAAAGATGGTGTGGTGAAAGATGGTGTGTGTAAGATGGTGTGTCAAAGATTGTGTGTGAAAGATGGTGTGTGACAAAGTGGTGTGTGAAAGATCATGTGTCGAAGATGGTGTGTGACAAAGTGGTGTGTGAAAGATGGTCTGTGACGGTGTGTGAAAGATGGTGTGTGGCAAAGTGGTGTGAAAGATGGTGTGTCAAAGATGGTGTGTCAAAGATGGTGTGTGAAAGATGGTGTGTGAAAGACGGTGTGTGACAAAGTTGTGTGTAAGATGGTGTGTCAAAGATTGTGTGTGAAAGATGGTGTGTGACAAAGTGGTGTGTGAAAGATCATGTGTCAAGGTGTGTGACAAAGTGGTGTGTGAAAGGTAGTGTGTGTGTGAAAGTTGTGTGTGAAAGAGAGGGTGTGACAAAGTTGTGTGTGAAAGATGGTGTGTGACAAAGTTGTATGAAAGATGGTGTGTCAAAGATGGTGTGTGAAAGATAATGTGTGAAACATGGTGTGTCACAAAGTGGTGTGGGTACCCAAGCGGCGTCCACGGCGCCAAATCCACCCCAAGCGCGCCACCAGAGCCAGCCCAGTGCCATAAGAGCCACGCCTGCCACACAAAGTGGAGGTGTCGCCAAGTGCCACGCCTGCCACGCAAAGCGACGCTCGATGTCGCCAAGTAACCCAAGCGCGCCACCAGAGCCAGTCCAGTGCCAGAAGTGCCGCGCCTGCCACGCAAAGTGAAGGTCCATGTCGCCAAGTGCCACGCCTGCCACGCAAAGCGACGCTCGATGTCGCCAAGTGCCACGCCTGCCACGCAAACAGCGGTGTGTGGACAAGTTGCATGTGTAGACGTGTGTGAGGAAGTTGTGTGTGTGTGTGAGGAAGTTGTGTGAGGACAAGTTGTGCGTGGACAAGTTGTGTGTGGACAAGTTGTGTGAGCATGTGTGTGAGTAAGTTGTGTGTGGACAAGTTGTTTGAGCATGTGTGTGTGAGTAAGCTGTGTGTGAGCAAGTTGTGTGACGACAAGTTGTGTGTGGACAAGTTGTGTGTGAGTAAGTTGTGTGTGAGCAAGTTGTGTGAGGACAAGTTGTGTGGTTGTGTGTGCACAAGTTGTGTGTGGACAAGTTGTGTGTGAGCAAGTTGTGTGAGGACAAGTTGTGTGTGCACAAGTTGTGTGTGGACAAGTGTGTGGAACATGCACAGAACGAAGCCAGTTGCCGTGGACACGGTAACTGGCTTCGTGCCACAGTTCATGTAGTAGTTGCTTCTCCTCCGGGTTTTCTAAGGGCCCTGCTAGGACCATGGCATGCACCCAGCTATCGCTGCTGGGCCCGTGGCTGCAACTGCACGACGTCTACAACTACATATGTATGCATCTATGCCAACATGTTGCAGGCATGTGCAGTATGTGAATGCCAGTCCGTATGCATGCACAGCTGTGTATGCGTGCATGAACGTGCGTCGCTAGGCAGGTATGCATGCATGTATGCAAGCTTGCATGTGCTTGTGTCTGCAAGTATGTACATGTCTAGGTGCATACGCCTGCAGGCATGTTGGCAGATGCGGCTTTGTAGCTGTGCAATGTGCATGCATGTAGGGGTGTAGCTGTGGAGGAATGTAGGCCTGCAGGGACGTTCACGTGTGGGTATTTAATGAGAACAAAGACGGAATGACGGCATGTGGTACGTAGAAATGTCGGTTCCTAAGTATGTACACCTGTATGCATCTATGTATCCATGTATGTATGCAGGCCTGCATGAATGTTTCTAACACATACAGTAGGAATGTCTGCAAGTCTGCATGTATGCATGTAGGAAGGATGTATGCAAGTGCGTCTGATTGTCTGTGTGTGAGATGTATGCACATATGTATGCAGGCATGTATGCAGGCTTGGATGAATGTACGAATCAATCAATGTATGCAGGTATATATCAACGTAGCAATGTATTGATGCATGCATGTACGCCTCCATGTATGCATGAAGGTATATGCGTGTGTGTGTGTATGGACGAAGCAGTTCGTCCTCTCGATTGGAAAGCTGCAGGCTAATGGAGGGGAGCGGAGGGTTCGCAAATTTATGCCCAGGAGTGTTTGGAGGGACATCGCATTTTGGATCATCTTCTGAGTGTCGAGCTGGGAACAGTAGCAGCTGCTGCTTATCATGCCAATCCAGCATGCATGCGCAATCACGCAACCCTGTGACATTCTAGGACATGAGTAGCAATACATAGTGCTGCAATACACCAGATTGATAGTGGGAGGACAGAGCGCCGCAATCGAAGAGAGCAGTTGCTGAAGAGGAGAAATGAAAGTGTTATGGTGGAAGCATCGAACTTCTTCTGTGAAGATAGATGTTTTTTCAATGCTACAGGTCCAAACTCATAGCGCCTCAACCGAGAGAGGTTCAGTTGAGTCACTTTGCCTTGTGCAGGACCTCTCTGGTCAGCCGCCGGCGTTAGCATCTGAATGGAAGATATGGATCCATAACTGGCAATATGCAACAAGACACAGCCACTATACGATATATATCTGTATATATATATAATGTTTATGGTTCATGTTAGCTGTTCCCCATCATATTAAATATCCAATATCACCAATCTCCAGTGACATGCGCTGATTCCTTTTTTGGCTGCGGACCGGGGGGGAATCGAATAGGGGCGGGGGACCCCTCCCCTAAGTGGAGATTCCTTACTCTCAGCTCTCAATTTCCGGGAAAGGGCCAGCCACCTCCCCCAGTACTAACCTAGTACTAAAGTACATAGAACTCAGGTAGCCTAGGCTACCTTTCGTGATCAAGATGGCCGTTATGAGCTGCAATGTACAATGGTGTTGCACCGGTATCCCTGGCCTTATCCTTGTCAGCACCAACTTCCACCAAATGACGGACAACATCAAGATGGCCGTTCTGAGCTGCAATGAACGATGGTGTTGCACCGGTATCCCTGGCCTTATCTTTGTCAGCACCAACTTCCACCAAATGACGGACAACATCAAGATGGCCGTTCTGAGCTGCAATGAACAATGGTGTTGCACCGGTATCCGTGGCCTTTTCTTTGTCAGCACCAACTTCCACCAAATGACGGATAACATCAAGATGGCCGTTCTGAGCTGCAATGAACAATGGTGTTGCACCGGTATCCCTGGCCTTATCTTTGTCAGCACCAACTTCCACCAAATGACGGATAACATCAAGATGGCGGTTTTGAGCTGCAATGAACAATGGTGTTGCACCTCGATTCTGTGCTTGATCTTTGTGAGCACCAACTTCCACCAAATGACGGACAACATCAAGATGGCCGTTCTGAGCTGCAATGAACAATGGTGTTGCACCTTGATTCCGTGCTTGATCTTTGTCAGCACCAACTTCCACCAAATGACGGACAACATCAAGATGGCCGTTCTGAGCTGCAAGGAACAATGGTGTTGCACCTCGGTTCTGTGCTTGATCTTTGTCAGCACCAACTTCCACCAAATGATGGACAACATCAAGATGGCCGTTCTCAGCTGCAATGAACAATGGTGTTGCACCTTGATTCTGTGCTTGATCTTTGTCAGCACCAACTTCCACCAAATGACGGACAACATCAAGATGGCCGTTCTCAGCTGCAATGTACAATGGTGTTGCACCGGTATCCCTGGCCTTATCTTTGTCAGCACCAACTTCCACCAAATGACGGATAACATCAAGATGGCCGGTCTCAGCTGCAATGTGCAATGGTGTTGCACCGGTATCCCTGGCCTTATCTTTGTCAGCACCAACTTCCACCAAATGACGGACAACATCAAGATGGTCGTTCTGAGCTGCAATGAACAATGGTGTTGCACCGTCATCCATGACCTTATCCTTGTCAGCACCAACTTCCACCAAATAACGGACAACATCAAGATGGCCGTTCTGAGCTGCAATGAACAATGGTGTTGCACCTTGATTCTGTGCTTGATCTTTGTCAGCACCAACTTCCACCAAATGACGGACAACATCAAGATGGCCGTTCTGAGCTCCAATGTACAATGGTGTTGCACCGGTATCCCTGGCCTTATCCTTGTCAGCACCAACTTCCACCAAATGACGGACAGCATCAAGATGGCCGTTCTGAGCTGCAATGTACAATGGTGTTTCACCGGTATCCCTGGCCTTTTCCTTGTCAGCACCAACGTCCACCAAATGACGGACAACATCAAGATGGCCGTTCTGAGCTGCAATGAACAATGGTGTTGCACCTTGATTCTGTGCTTGATCTTTGTCAGCACCAACTTCCACCAAATGACGGATAACATCAAGATGGCCGTTCTCAGCTGCAATGTACAATGGTGTTGCACCTCGATTCTGTGCTTGATCTGTGTCAGCGGCTGCCTCAAGCAAAAGCAGCATGCTTTCAACATGTCCTTCACTGGCAGCATAGTGCAATGGCGTGTTGCCATGTTCGTCTGTGACATTGGGATTGGAAGGTCTATTAAGGAACTTTTCCAGGGCGATCAAATCATTTTCCATAGATGCAGAGATCACTTGTTGGCTTCGTTGAGCATCAGCTGGATAAAAATCCAATACCACCATCTGAAGCTTCACTGGAGCGGAGCTAAAAACCTCATCATCCGGGATCTCAGAACCATCTTCGGAGAAGAGTCGTTGTTTGAATCTGATGACACCAATCTGAACTGCCAAGGCTTGTTTCACAGCCTTTGCAGTCTTTCCTTCGAATTCATCCGGGGCAAGGGCTGCAAGAGTCGCACCTGACAGAAAACACACCTCCATTGCGGCAGTGGTGGACATGCAAACAACCTGTAGTTAGACATGTTCAAATGTGAAAAGATATCTCAAGAAAGTTTTGACGAAGCAATGTACAATGTATATAGATCTATGTTTGTGGAATGTATTGCCATCAACGCACGTACCGTCGACAAAAAACATCAATGGCGTGGGCATTGTCCTTTCCCTGCAGCCAACATCAAATAGACATGACTCACGATTGTCTACGCAAATAGCCTGCACCCAAAAAAGGTGATCATGAACATGTGCAAAGTTGTGCTACCAAATTTGCCAAGCATTATCCCACCCCATGTTAGGCACCAAATCTACTTTCTACACAGAATTATCTATATTTTGATAAATTGGGATCGATATAAGCCCATGATACCACAATGGCAAGGATGAACATCCATGAGCAAGCAACTATTTCAATGTGAACGCAAGGGAACCTGAGTTCTGACCCATACTCAAATCACCGTTCAGTTGTCTGCCCCCTGTCTCGTATCTGGCTGCGTGTCTCTGGAGGACTGAGAAATATACCTGCCAAAGTCTAGTACTTTTATTCTGACGATTTACCCTCTGGTAAACTAACATAGCTATGGAAAATCACTATTTTTAATGGAAAAACCTTTATAAATAGCAATGTTCAATAGCTATGTTACAAATCACCAGAGGGTAACTTGGTCCCCATGTTAGCCATTCTTCGAATTGATCAGAAAACGAAATCCAACTACATCCATCTACATCCAGATGTCAATGCCACTTATGGGTGTCGATGGTGACCTCAAATCACCCAACCACGGGGTCATATCCCATTATGGCAGTGGGTCGAAATCTTAAACATCCCCAAAATGAACAGACCCATGCTGCGTGCCTGACAATATGGGTGTCCCTGCTGCGTCCAGAATGACCAATTGAATAGAGCGGATGATCAAACACGAGATCAAACATGAGATTTTGGAGCTCCGTAAAAATCACTTCCTCATTTCACCAAATGCTTGGTCCAACCGGCCTAGCCGATATGATTCAAACGAAAAATGTGGAATTTTGCCCCAATAAGCATTCATCGAAACCATGGGATGTTCATCACCTAAAATGTTTTTGAACCTGCCAGAGACAAGGTACCCTCTGGTAATTTAACATAGCTATTGAAAATGGCCATTTATAGTGAAATTTCCAATTAAACATGGTGATCTTCCATAGTTATGTTAGTTTACCAGAGGGTATTATCTGTGACTCACATCTTAGTCGAGTCTGAAACCCGCGATAAGTATCCGAGCACCCTCCAGTACTCAGACATAACTTAACTGAATATCCACACATCTATACAGGAAGGGGCTCCCTTGTTGGCTAACTTAGCTTATAACTAAGCCTAGGCTAACTAGAAGTTTTGGTGGATTCATGGCTGGACAATACTCCAACTTCAAGGTGACGGATCAACTGGGATGTCGATCAAAAAAATCTGCAGGAAATTTCCCCAGGGTTTTCCAAACGGGTCAAGTTGCCATTTTTCAATTTTCGGAACACATGGACCAACGACTTTCAAAATACCATATCGGAGTCAACAACTTCATGGATTTTGTTCATGGTACCTCTTTTTTCGCCCATTTTACTTGGCTATATCTTGCTGATTGGTGGTTTCAATCCCTCTGAAAAATATTAGTCAGTTGGGATGATTATTCCCATATATTATGGAAAAAATACTTGAGAGGGGGGGACGAAAGGTAGGTGGGGGCAAATACAGGAGGGACAGGAAGAGAGAGAAATGAAACGAGGAGAAGAATAACAAGAAGACTAAAATCACGGTCAGTATTACAAGAACTAATGCAAGATCGAGGTGCTGAGTTTGCTGACAAGATACATGCACGAGATAGGGCTAAAGTGCTTCAACCGATGGATGCTGGGTTGAGGCACTTTGTGTGTAGAGGTGTAATCCCTCAAGGATGCAACGCTCATGCTAAAGGAATGCGGCATGTGGTGGCGAGTATATAGAGTCGATGGGGATGAGCACGTAGACAGCTGCAAAGCAGCGAAACATATACAGATATCCAATATCACCAATCTCCAATGACATGCGCTTTTTGGCTGCGGACCAGGGGGGAATCGAATGGGGGGGGCGGGGGGGGGGGCCCTAAGTGGAAATTCCTTACTCTCAGCTCTCAATTTCCGGGAAAGGGCCAACCACCTCCCCCAGTACTAAACTAGTACTAAAGTACATAGAACTCAGGTAGCCTAGGCTACCTTTCGTGATATGTTCCACATATTTCCACATATATATATATATAAATATATAATATATTCTATATATAATTATAATATATTTGCAGAAGATGCAAAAGGATGCAAAAGGCTCTTTTCTACGGCTGTGCGAGTGACTCAAACGGATGCGTTCGCACCACTTTGACAATCTCTGCAGCAATCTTCGCGCCACCCAAGCTGCTGGGTTCAATAGGATTTGCAAAGTCCTCCACCTCTGCTGTGAATGAGTGAGAAAAAAAGGCGATCCAAGTCCAGCTTAAAAGCAGTGACATTAGTTGACATTAGATTGAAACATTCGTCGAGGATTGCAGCATGAGCACAACAACTCTGGAAAACTGCAATCCACAGCGTGACACGTGAAGCATGTGTTCTCCACCGGTCTCCATCTGCCCCCAGTGCCTTGTTCATGACCCTGCGCAGGTCGATGACAGGTGCTTTGAGGCGTGTGGCCACGCGTAGGACAGCGTCGGCCAAAACACTCAAAGCCATGTTCGCTACGCTCTGCTTCACAGTGACTACGTTCCAGGCAGCAAAGGCAGGGTTGTAACCTGGGTTAAGGGATGTTAAGGGAATGGTGGGTGTGGATTGATCAATGGATAGCCAACTAGCTCTGCATAGCTCTGCTCTCAATGGCCAAATCAATGACTTCTAATGACTTCTGAGCAAACACCTCTTTTTCACCAGTACCTGTTCTTCGTGTTTAGAGGTACAAACGTGTCTTGAGCTCCTGCGTCTTTTCAACACAGCTTCCAATGCCTGAAACTTCTGAATCAGCTGTTGACACTTTTGCTTTGCTTCAGGCATGGCCATCAAGTATCTGGGAGGATAAGAATCATTTGTGACAAAAACAGGTTGAAAAGCCTTGATGGGATACCTGCTAGTACGGGGATTATATCTAACGTATTCTAACGTAATATCTACTTAAAATGCTGCTCAAGGCTGGGTGCTGCTGCTTATATTATTCTGTTCTCCTACTCCACCTAATGCTTGATGCAGGCGTAGAGGTACGGATCAGTCAAGGAACGTCTCACCTGATGTCGCTTGTACATTTCAAAGCTCCCATGTCTGTTGTCAAGAAACACAAAAATACGCTTTCTGGGTTGTAGATCTACACAATATCTTCGTCCATTTCCAAACAGATCCCCATTGCAGCTCTTCGACATCCCACCATTATCACACTCTGTTCCACTGTTACTCAATCTCGCCAAGAAACAAGAACAAACCACCAACTGCTTATCTCCAATGCAATTCTTCAAATGAGTCCTTAGCGCTTAGCAGGACTCATGACAGAGACTTTGCTTAACAAAGATGGCCAATTCCTGGAACACTGATTGTGACGTGACACACCAGGTGCAACATGGTGCAACCTGGGCTAGCCACATTTCTGCCGTAAATTCCGCTTCAAATTCCGCAGCAAAGTTGTGCAGTCGATCCAAGGCCTGGGTGAAGTGTTCTCCCAACTGAAGCAGTTCACGTGGTGGATCCAACTGGCAGTCCGATATTTTTTTTAATGTCAGAACAAGTATTTAGGTATCATCATCATCACCATCATCATCATCACCACCATCATCACCATCATCACCAATATCATTAGGAATCATGTTCAATTGATTTCATCAGGTTTCTTTTGATCATCGACAATCTCTGTAGGCTCCCCTCATCTTCGCCTCTTCGCAGTCGGTCACCGGTCCACCCAGGACGGTAGTGCTGGCACCTGTAGCATTGTTGCCCCCCACGGAGACGACCACATGACTTGCATCGTGCGGAATTTGTTTCAACTGCTCTCTGATGGCGCCAATCCTAAGGACGTTTACACACCGACATCACCTTGGTATACCTTGGTATCACAATTTATCACAATTTATCACATATTCAGTCAAAGATACAGCAACAAAAACAACAGCAATATCAAGCTCCAATGCCACCAGCAACAGCACTCGCATCCACAACCACAAGAACGATGACCTTATATACAATATATGACACAATAATACCTAGTCTTCCATTTGTGAGCTCGATAACAAACATATAATATATCATATCATATATTGACATTGACATACCACGATCACGTCAATTGCGACCATGCCAACGGAACGGGATCATGGTTCAGTTAAGGAATGTTAATGAATACTTCCTGTCCTGGCAGGGATCATTACCATGACATACCATGACCATGATCATGGTCGATATCCCTATGGCCATCATCATTATCTTGTTGTTCCAGTCTCGACGCAAGAAGTGATCTTCCCATTGCCGGTGTCGTTCTCTGTGGCACGCAATAATATCAATTATATCAATGCAATAATATCAAACATGACATATTGCTTGTAAAAGTCACAAGCCCTTGCAACTACAGCTTCTGTTGAATTCTGGCCTAGTTGCATCTTGGTGGAGTCTGTGCTACATCTGAACGGATCTGAATGGCCAGGATTGCTGTTGATACCAGGTCATGCCAAGTATCAGAGCTCCGTCTCGAGCACACAGTGTGACGTTCGGCTCCAACTGCTGCACCTGTCGATGGCTCCATCCAATCTTGATCCATCACTGATCCATCAATAATTATTACATCAATATATATATATATATATATCAATATATATATATATACATACAATTATATAAATATACGTATAATATATCATAATATAATATATAATATCAATATCCATCCTGTCTTCAAGGCTCTTAGCATGACTCAGTGACTGGACAACCCCACCTGATCAAAGACCGAAGGCTCACCGCGGGGAACCCAGCGCCCGTTGTCAATGGTGGAATCTCCCAGCAGCGCAATGTGCGTCTTCGCTGACCGAGTTCCGGATTGCTGGTTTCCCATGCGACACACGCGGCACCGGCACAGTTTTCTGGGCCACAACTGTCTGCGCGTCATTGATGCAGGTTCTAGGATTGCTACGGTGTTGTGAACCAATCAAAAATGGCCAATCAGCCACCAAGGCGAGCGAAAACCAAGGCGAGCGAAAGGTCCCAAATCAAAGTGAGAGAATTTGCTCATTGAATCTGGTGAGATCGTCTAATATTCATGTGATTCTGGTTCTATAGCCTCTTCCTTTGAGGGATGGTTGCCTGAGAAACTGTGACTAGCTTCACTAACAAGTTGCAGTTGTATCTACGGACAAGAAAGTTAGATCTATAATATATATATATATAATTTTATATACTATATTATATTATATATATTATATATATATATATCCGACCCAGCATTGAATACTCTCCCATGAAGAATGGTTAATATATGTTCAGATTATATATTTCATTATATGTGTATATCTGTGATATTGCCATGCTCTAGATCCACACTACAGTATGCAAACTGTCGCAAGCACCGCATTACGTTTTCAAATGGTGTCTGAAGCTATGGAGACCTGACTTGGGAATCCTTGCAAATATTCCATGACACCTGGCACCTGGAGTCCCCCTCCCCTTGGCTGGAGCCAAAGTCAATATCCAGCCTCTGCGGCTCTGTAGTGCAGGTTCCAAAATTCAATGTAAAAGCAAGCTGAGCAAAATAAAGAGACCTGAGCCGTAGGAAATCCGGTTTGATGTCAATAAATAACGCAACAAGTATCAACAAAAATCAAAACATCTTTCGATGATTCGGCGAGTTGAAATAGATCATGAGAACATGGTTTGAGAATTTGAACTGACAGCCAAGGGAGAAGGCTGCGTCTGCAAAGCCATAGGGAACATAGTTTTGCCAACTGAAAGCGATCGAACACACTTCCATACCTTTCATATCTTCCACAATAGTTTTCATTTGTAATTTCCTGGTTTCGAGAGCCGGTTCCAAAATGGCACGCCTACATCTCTCATTACATGTCATCATAATTAATAATCGAAGGAAGTTTAGAAGTGAAACTTCCGACAATATGGACAGTTGAAAAGCAGAGGTGAGAAGAGTCAGAAGAGACAAGATCAGAAGAAAGAAGAGGTAGATGCGCGAAAAGATAGGAAAGTCGCGATTCACTGTGTTTTTCCAATGATTTGTGGCTCCGGAGGGTCGAAAAGTAGGCTCGCTAAAGCGGCGGGTGCGGAGCCAGCTGGTCAGATGAGACATGAAAAAGTGCACGCCGTTGTGGCGCGAAGCACATTTCCAAGTCAAAATGGACAAAACACTCCAGGAGCGGACCACTTTGGAAGTTGCGATGTCGAAAAAGTGCACGCCGTTGTGGCGCGAAGCACATTTGGAAGGCAAAATGTACAAAACGCACCAATGTCGGACCACTTTTGGAAGTTACGATGTCGAAAAAGTGCACCTCGTTGTGGCGCGAAGCACATTTGGAAGGCAAAATGTACAAAACACACCAATGTCGGACCACTTTTGGAAGTTGCGATGTCGAAAAAGTGCACGCCGTTGTGGCGCGAAGCACATTTTGAAGTCAAAATGTACAAAACACACCATGGTCGGACCACTTTTGGAAGTTCCGATGTCGAAAAAGTGCACGCCATTGTGGCGCGAAGCACATTTCCAAGTCAAAAGTGTTAAAAACTGACGGTCTCGGACCACTTTTGGAGGTTCAGATGTCGAAAAAGTGTCGAAAAAGTGCACGCCGTTGTGGCGCGAAGCACATTTCGAAGTCAAAAGTGTAAAAAACTGTGGGTTTTGAGCCTTTTTTGACGTGAATATGTCGAAAAAGTAGACACTGATTAACTTAACTAACTTGACTAACTTAACTAACTTCACTAACTTAACTACCCTAACTTCGACGACAACAGCAACAGCAACAGCAACAGCAACAACAGCAACAACAACAACAACAACAACACCAACACCAACCACAACAACAACAACAACTACAACTACAACAACTACAACAACTACACAACAACTACACAACAACTACTACTACAACTAGAACTACAACTACAACAACACAACACAACAACAACAACAGCAACACAACAGCAGCAAACAACACAACAACAGCAACTACAACTAACAACTACAACTACAACTACACAACAACTACAACTAGAACTACAACTACAACAACTACAGCTACAACAACAACAACAACAACAACAACAACAACTACAACAACTACAGCTACAGCTACAGCTACAACAACAACTACAACTACAACTACAACAACAACAACAACTACAACTACTACTACTACTACTACTACTACTACTACTACTACTACTACTACTACTACTACTACAACACTACACAACAACTACAACCACACAACAACTACAACTACAACTACAACAACTACAACTACAAAACAACTACAGCTACAACCATATGACTGCAACTACACTACACTAATTACATTACACCACAACTACAACTCCACTACGCTACAGCTACAACTACAGTTGCAGTACATCACACTACATCCAGCAGTTGTGGGTGAGGTGACCACTGCAACCATTGCAACCATTCCAGCAAACACAACTCCAACCACCTTTCGGTCAATCAGTGGCTTCGCTCTGCCATCCCTGATTCACAACAACCAACTTCTCCTATAGGTTTCCTATTTTTGAAACTTCCGCCACCGCCTTGTGCGGTACTACTGGTATTCATACAATAACAGTTATACAGTCTTCCAGGTACCATCACCAAGATGCGCCCAAGAACCTTTATTATTCGCTCATTTGGGATCACGTCATTTCTAAAGTTATGAAAATTATGAAAACAAAAGCATTACAACTCATTATCAAAAAAGAATCGATTATTAAACCGTGTCCACTATTTCCAAGGCTGCGGATCAGGTAATCTATCGCGTTTAATCTTAAGCTAACGACATCTAACGACCGTGTCCCATGTCCTGTATCACAGCAGCTGTCTGGGTCTGGGCCGAGCGACATAGCATGTGCTCCAACCGCGACAACATCGTCGGACACAGCAAATTCTGTCGCCACACAACCTGCTATGAGTATGTGGTCACATATTTCAAGATGAGCAAAACTGTGAGTCGAGCAACACATAAAGGGCAGGACATCCTACGAGCAAAACGGTGGCTTCAGCCATCAATCTGCGCACAAGAGACATTATCTGAGCAAGTTTCTTGGAACAAACCACACATGACAGAATTCCACCTCGTCATCCTCTGACCCAACATCTGCATACAATATATATATATATTATAGTTGTATCATGTTATATTGCAACTTTTTTAAATATGAATAATCCCATTTGTTTAAAAAGTCAAGATGTTTACAGATGTTATATAAACGTATCATAACGTATCTTAAAGTATTAAAGTATGAGGCCACGTCCCTCAAGATTCATCAAGATTCAGCTTCCAGGGTGAGGATCATTATTATCAATTCAATTCCTGGCTGTTCATCTGTGCACCCGCCTGGATGTCTCAGCTGGCTGCTCTCCCTGCAGAAATAGCGGATCCGAATCACTTGCTGCCTTGTCCCAGCATGTCGCTTCAAGAAAGTGAGTAAGGGATCTAATCCAATGCAGGCTCTAGCATAGGAATGGCATGGAATGGCGCACCCACCATCTGGGGTAATTTGGTATCAACAAGTTGCAGAACCAAAGCAAAGCCTCCAACTGCAAAGCCCCAGGAAACGGAGATACGGAAGGTACAACTATCATGTTCAACCTGTCCGTTGTCCCACGATCTAGGCGTACACTTAACTTATTGGCCTTACATCTTCCAACTTAGGCGGGACGAGGACAAACATACCTGGATCCTCAAACATAGGGAAACACATGAATATTCTAATTAAGTACTATTACAGTCTGATTAAAAACACTCATCCATGTTGGGCATATACCTATTCCTGCAAAAACTATGTGATTAAAGTGTTAGCGATGGTTGGTCGTCTTGACACCAAGTGATCCTTGTCTCAGAAGTGGAACTTTGGAACATTTTGGGACTCATTTTGGGACTGATCTCCCCATGCGCCTCAAGGAAAGGCACTCTGGCAGACATGGGCGCAGCCAATGTGGCAATAGCAAAACCTCAAAATCTATCAAAATCTGTAGATTACTGCAGTGTTCAGCAAAAGGCCTTTTGAATTTCACTGATTTGCAGTTTCATTCGGAACTCGTAGGTTCTCAGTCACACAACCAAAATTGCGTGTTACCAAAATTGCTTGTTAGTATAGTTTGTATCTGCCATCGTCTCTTTGGTGATGCTAATGCTACTCTGACGTCTACAAGACTCACCCAAAGATGCCCAAAGTCTCTTGGGCGAACTTGTCCAGTATAGCTCTGCAGCTCTGCATTAGTTTTGAACAAGCTGCAACCGTATTTTGTCGGTAGCTAAGTTCGCGAAGCGGTTCACACCAGCTTGAGCCATGTCCAACCATGTGTGTTACAAGCACGAAAGGTGGACTGAAAGCAGCAGAGCCAAGAACTGCCCAATGTCGGCAAACACTCATCGACTATTTTGCATGAAACCATATGAAACCCATAAACTATCATAAACTCAGATTATATACTTCCAATGATGCAACTTCATTTGTCACAGCTGATTTCCCAGCCCTGCAACTGCAAACCTTGGCAGCAGTGAGAGCCAGCTCCTGATGACCATCAGGTTTAGCCAACAACCAGCACCAGTCAGCACCTAGCAAAACACACATCCTCATCCTTCAGCTGCATGGAATAGAGCAGTTCCTTTGGTTGGCTTGCTTACTTCCAATTTGCTACATGGAGTGCTTCTCTTCCAGTCCCTGGTTTGTGGACCGGGGAAAATGCTTGTACTCCAACTGACCTCGATTGCTTCATGTTGTCCCTTGGCACAGCATGTCATAGCTCATCGGCAATCCAATTGGTCCTCTTTGTGACCCAGTTGCCGCATGCACACAGTAATCCACAGAGTAAGCACCTGGGAACAGTCATTGAATTGAAAACTGGATAAAAAATC